CCCCCCCCCCCCCGCCGCTGCCGCCTCCTCCTCCTCGCCTCTGCCCAAGCCCGTTCCCTCCCTTCTGCCTTCCACATTGCGGGGCCAGAGGCCGCCAGAGCCAGCGTGGCCCCGTCACGTGCCTCTGAAGACTTTTAAAATTCCGGGCCGTGACGTCACGTCACGCCCGGGCATCCGCCCCGCCCACGTACAACGCCGCACATGGGCAGCAGCAGGTGGTGAGGAGGAGCCGCGCACGGCGGGGGCGCACGGGGGGCCCGGCGCAGCGGATCCGCATCTGGCAGAGCCGGGGGAGAGACCCAGCTCCACATGTCGGTGGAGCAGGGCCCCCAGCTCTGCCCCAATTCCCCTGCCCGCAATCACCAGGCATGCTAAGGCCTGGTATTTTTTTTTTCCCATGGCCCAGTATCATGCTGTGGCCCATAGTTTGGGAAACGCTGCTCTAGAGCCCTTTAAAAAGCCCCTGAAATCAATGAAGGTGTGTACCTGCGCTCTGACTTTGCTGTCTGCCTTTGTGTCAGTTCTTCTGCAATTTCGTCATCTTTTATCAGGCTCGAATGAGAAGCCACCTGACTGTCAAGCTAAACAACAACGAAATCACTTACTCACTTGTTACCGTAACTGTAGCATATATTTTTCATCCAGAAAGTGGCAGATATATAGCAAAAACTCTGGATCAAAATCCACAGAAGGCTAATGGGCATTGCACATGGTGTCACTTGTGTGGAGGACTTGGACTTCTTGAACCTTTATAGAATAGATAATGACAAGTGAAAAAGGAAAAACCCTGTGTTTGCAGGCCTGATCGCTATGAAGGGAAATCACTGATCCCTACCCCACCAAGATGAGCAAGTTTGATGTGAGTCAGCGTGACACAAATGCATAGTACAGTAAAACTCCATTAGTCCGGCATCCAATGCTCCGGGACTCCTGATGGTCCGGCACCATCAGGAACCCGGAAGTGCTGGGGCAGCCAGACAGGCTTCCCACATTCAGCTGTTGCTGAAACTGACCAGCAGCTGAATCGAGGAAGCCGGGAGCAGAGCAGCTGGGGTGCTGCCGGGTTGGTCCCATAGCACTGCCCAGAGGGGCTGCAGGACCAACCCGGCAGCACCC